ATTGAAATTTGGTTTTTATTCAGGTACATTAAACATATCTATCTATTTGGTAGGATTATTGATTGAGAATTTCTATTATCAATCTAGATGTTGGTTATATAAATATGTACTAATCGACCTGCGTCTTTAAGTCATGAATAGTTGATTATTTGAAATATGATAATTGTAATACAGATGGAACTATTCCTAGAAATTCGATATCCTGTCATACGAGATATTTTAAATGCTAGTGGCTGATTAATTTTTTTCTCTACGTGTCGTATGTTTATCAGTTAATAATTTGTTTATGACTTATTCTTTGATTATTCTATAAATAGAATGAGGCGTTGATAAACCAGCTCTATAGGTACCACATGTCGGAAGTAGTTGGCGAACAACAGAAGATATCTCAGATAGATGGCAATCTATGCTTGAAAATATTGATATTGTATAATGAATAGATTATATTATTGACATAGAAACTAATATCCTTATATTTAAAATAATAAATTTGCTGAGAAAGCTACATCTGTTCGATGGAATGATCCAGGTAGTAAATTAAATATTTAGATTTTTGTCAATTAATTTTATTTATTTCGAGGAATATGTACATATTTTTCTCTCTAAACTCTATTAGTAAAGCTCCATTAGGTATTCATAGAAAAAAAGTTGCATTTACATCACCAAAATATTAACTTTCATTCAGTTATGATGCTTAATATTACTCTTAAACAATAAAACAAAAGAAAATAAAAAATTGTCATGTGATCATAATAAATGTATTACAAATATATAACAACAATTTTTATTACGATTCTTATCCGTGTTAACTCTATCGAACATAATTTTCATCATTTATTTATATTTCGTTAGATTATCTACGTAAGTATGATGACCAATAGAATTAATAATAACAGTTACAATTATATTAATAAACAAAATCTCATTATATGAACCATCAAATCATAAACTTATGTAAATGATTTATCTATTTACAAGTTAATCAATAAAAGAATTTATTCTTGAATCATTGTGTAGCATCTCTCCCAATGACTAATAGATACTCGTGTATATATGCAAATGATAGGAAATAATTTGCAAGTCTTTTGGAAATATGGAAATGAGACGTAAAAGAATTAATATAGAAATTATTAATAAAAGATATTTTGGGGAAAAAATGATAATAATTAAATATATTGATTGTATATTCTAAATCTAGTAAACATATCTTTAACTTTCTCATGATATTTTGTTGATTTTTATTTGTGTTACGGTTAAATGAAAATTAAATTTGATCACTGATTTCATAACAAGTGAATCGATACACAATTCTAATAGTTTAACTATTCAGTAGAAGCGTTGTTAAATTAAAAAAATATCAATTGTAAATCATTGAGGTCAAAGAGTATAGCTTACTAGTTAAAGGCATTACGTCAATATACGATGATAGAAATGCGTAAAAATTGTCGTATCAACATCTGCAGCTCATTTATCGATAATTAGCCGTAAGAAAAATTATATATGTCTAATATGTATTTTCTCTTGATCCTTGTCTTTTGTGTTATAGATAGTATTTTGAGTACGTTTTCTATATATATAAATATAATAACATACTAGAATATTCAAAAATATTTAATGATCAAAAGAACAATATTGATTATTTTGTGTATTGAAAAAAAGCCAACAAACAATGTCATTTTTCTTGCTAATGATAGAGATATATTTACATTTCAAGTCTATAAGGACAACTAATTTTGTTCATCAATATTTAAATATTTGTTATTTTATTGGATTTTCTTTTCATGGACTGAAATATAATTCAATTGATGAAATATTCATCTTCTCTCAATTTTATTTTTATGAATAATTCATTCAAATATGAAATAATTGGAATTATTTTTGTTTTGTTGCTTGTATAATTTTTCGTACAACTAAAATTATAAATTTATGATAATTAATTCATATAAACCAATATGAAAAGAGAGAAATCAAAATAATGTTTTTTTGTCATTTAAAATCATTAGAGTTATATTAAATCTCTTGATCTGTTTCTATTTGATAATAATGGCAAGTTTTATGTGAATAAGTAAATTTATTATTTCATAGAGATTTTACCGACTAGAATATATACATTTAATTTCTATTGAAACATGAAAAACTATAGAATTTCAAACGAGAAATATGCTTATACGTCAACTCACATGACGAAGAATAAATAAATAAAATCAGTTCAATAAAGATTAATCTTGAAAATAATCTCTCGTTATATTATTCTATTTATTAATGACATATATAAGACTTTGTCAATATAAGATTTGCTTAATATGTAGGCACATATCAGAATTAGAAAGCAAATAACTTCACTGATAAAAGACGAGTCAAAAGTTTTCGTATATTGAAGAAAAATTTCTTTTTTTCCCTTGTTACAAATCCAGAAATACTCTTAGTTGTGTGGATAATCTGTTGCAACTAGATGGATATTACAATGAATTTTCATAACTGTAACCTTATTTAGTGGAAGAATCAGAAATGTCAATGGCAGTGCAGTAGTAGTAGTAGACGTTTTTTAGAGGAGAATGCATGAATTTTAAGAGAAATTCAGTGTTCATAAGTGCAAAACTAGAAAACTCAACTATCGCGACATAGTTATATTTGAATGCGCCGAGGTAGGCTATCTGTTTTGTATGTTCTTATTTTTTATTTCATATTGATGAATATGAAATTATTGGTATTAATCTTAGTTGCTCTTAATAAGGTATGTATTGGCGTTCGATATGAATGTAATTATAATGAAGTGTCATGTGGTTGTGGTATTTCTAATGTTGAATTAGATCCATTAAGAATTATCGGTGGTGAAGAAGCTATTCCATACAGTTGGCTAATGATTGTTTCTTTGCGTAATAATCGTCAACTTGAAAGAAAACATTATTGTAGTGGATCAATTATTAACAAATATTTTATTTTAACTGCAGCACAATGTGTTATAAATATGGGTTCTCCATCAAACATTCTAACTGCTACTGCTATTCACAATCGGACAGACATTGATGAGATAGAGCATTCAGTGAAAAAAATCTTCATACATCCTAATTATACAGGGCATAAAGATGGATTTAAAAATGATATTGCTCTTTTAGAACTTGATACGCCACTCGATATTGATGAAAATCCATTTCATGCAAAAACATGCTTACCAGAGATTAATATCTCAACAAATGTAACCAATTATCCGTCAAATTGAGCACGATTAATTGTCATTGGATACGGATCAAAAGAAGATGATCATAATAATTTAAGTAATAATCTGCAGCAAACAGAAATATTTACCATCGATAATAATGATCCCATATGTCGTCGATCATTTATTGATCCAGAAAAACAAATATGTACTGGAATTTATCAAGGTGGCAAAGGTTTGTCTTTTTTTGTTATGATTAATTTTACATAATTTCAAATATCTTTTTCTTAATTAGGTACATGTCGTGGTAAGTTATTTTAGATATTAAAAATCATACATGTAATAGTCGTAAGTTGAATCCAACTATTCAACTATTCATTCTACTATTCAACTATTCATTCTACTATTCTACTATTCAACTATTAAATTTTATTAGTAGGAGCCTCCAACTTTACAGCTATTCAACTATTAAATTTACTAGGGTAGGTGTGGGTGGGTGAGGATGTGAGTGTGGGGTGTGCGTGCCCGGAAGGTCGCAGATAAATGTGGATGCCGGGAAGGGTTCAGAGGGGAGCAGATGAATGTGGGTGGCTGGAAGAGTGCAGAGAGGAGCAGCTGTATGTGGTTGTCTAGAAGGGTGTAGATGAGAAAGCAACTGAGTTTGGGTACATGGACTTACGTGCGACATAGCCGTATATTGAGAGGATACGCCTAGTCACCTATTATATTTGAATAGTCGTAAAGTTGGAAGGTCCTACTAATAAAATTTAATAGTTGTAAAGTTGAATAGTTGGAGGCTCGTACTAAAAACTTATAAAGTTGAATAGTTGGAGTAGAAGTTTAATAATCGGACCGAGTTAACGATTTCTACACTACTCCTTTTACTGTCACGCCCATATCAATACTACCACTATACGATTGCATAAACATGGTACATATATCAACATCTTTATTAATAGAAAGATCATCAGGTATTTGTAAGTTGGGATTACGACAAACATTAGTATAGACGCATGGGATTAGATATGCAAGTGTAATGATGGAAAGATATACACACATCGAGGACTTTCTTTTTCTACTCATTTCGGTTCTTTGTTTAATACTTTAATTCAATAATCTATAAAAAGAACTTTATAATCAATACAAAGATAAATATTAATCCGGTTAAACAGACATTTCCAAAAAATGAGTTAAACAAGCTACTAGAATTTTCAGCATAACGCAAGCTTTCAATGGTTATTTTTTTACCATTTCAGGTGATACAATTCGTGCCTTTTCAAAATGTCTCTTTGGTCGGGAATCTTCATTCCTCCACAATTGAAAACTTCCAGTTTTGACTCTGTAAAAAAAGAGAAAAATCAGTTTATCCCTTACTAAATGCTCAAAACTTCCCATGAGTCTTTATTTTTACAACATTGCCATTCGAATATAAATGAACCGTATATTTAAAATACATAAAGTAGACAACATGAGTGTATGATCGTATGAGTAACTTGGATCTACTGCTAGAGCCCATTGGGTTCAACATTTTTGGACCCGAAATCGAACAATACTCTTAATTTCAACGAATTTTTTTATATCAATTTGATAGCTGGTTCGAAGAGGGTGTAATCTAATAAAAATCAAGTCATAATTGGCTGTTATTTTTAGAGTAGTTGGTATCAGATCAGACCCGGACCTACTGAATCCGAAATTGAGTCCAATGGGCTCTATCTATGGCTCGTAAATCTGGATGCTTTTGGTAGTGTTAGTCTCCGAAAACGAAAGCAATTATATTCTAAAATTGTAACAATACTATTCTCGATCGCGTGTCTTGTAAATAGTGCTTATCTTCTCAGTTTTTAAATTATTTATGTCTTTTGTGTTTTCGTTCTTTACCACTATCTATACGATGGTGAATCAGTATAAAAGTCCTAGGGTCAAGTATATATTTACCTTATCTGGCCAGATTATTCTTTTCAGACATTAGATGAAATATGCACTGTTGTCCATAATCATACTTAGTTGTTTACAGCTGCTAGAATTACCTCTTTATATATCTTATGTATCGGCGAATGTATATATATTAGCTTTTAGAGGAAGATTGCGTGTGCGTTAGAATCTACCTAGTCAACATGAAAAACACATTATGATATGTAAGAGTGACGCCAAGTGAGAAAGAATGGAAAAAAAGATAAGCTGAAAAATATTTAGATGCATAGCGAACAAACAAACAAACGTTCTTTTATATACATATAGATAGATAATCTAAATAAAAATTGATTAGTAGACGAACATAAAACGAACAGTGCAATTCCTTAATGATAGAAAGATTAATGAAGAATAATATTAATACATTCTTATTTTTATTATAATTATATTAGATTGTAATATTTTGATAAATATCTTTTTGACAAGCTACTCTTTTTTAATTATTCGCAGATAAATTAAAGAGCAAAAAAAGATATTGCAATATTTCTTCGAAGAAATAAAAATGACACCCATATTTATGCCAAGCTTGTTGTTATTCATTTAGGTGCATCCATACCTACTTTAATTTATCAAAGTACGTTAATTTTCAAACCAACGTAGAAGCTGGTCTAAGTAGCTCTCAGGATCAGCGCCTTTTTCTCCTCCAGTATAATAGTAGTAAAGTTCTTGTACGTCCTATCAGTTGAATATTTTCATTGTAACTAACTCAATATGACAGATACCTGGTTTTTTTCAACGATTCCTATGAACTGATCGATATGTAATGTAAAACTCTATATTTTGCTAGAAAATTAAAGTTAATGTTTCAATTTCAATAGTTACAAATTTTACGAACACAATAACGTAATATAATATTGTTTTAAATGAACTTCAACAAAAACGATTGTACACATAATAATTACAAAATATAGAGAAAAAAACAAGTATCTTACTCAATTGTTATAATATGAAATATATGCATGTATACAACTACAAACGTTCCGTACATTTCATAATTGAATGCCAATTATAGCAGTCTTTACTGTTCTTATAGATTATAAGCTTCATTACTCAAATTTCTTTTTTTTCTATTCACTTTCTTCCGTTCTCGACTAGAAATTATTTTATAACAAAATAGTAAAGAAAAAATAGTGATGTGGAGTGGTAGAGTATCGGCAGTTATTGCTAATGATGAAACATCCAAAACTAATTCACTTGTATCTAAATTAATTCATTATACTACAAAACTTACAACTGATAATGATCGACGACAATCATTTCTGGATATATCATCAGACGGGTTTGTATTTTATTTTTTATCTTAAATTATTGTGTAAAAAGTTTTTAAGTTGATCTCTAATTATAAAATCTGAAAAAAAGAATTTTACATGTGTTTTAAATTAAACAAAAAAAGAAAGAAAGAATTAAGAAGTAAATTTTGTTAACTGGTGGCATCTATATCAAAAATCAAAGAGTAATCTTTCGAGGCTACTACCTTGGTTAATTTCATTAAAAATGGTTACTTTATTCAAACTAACTATGAAACAAAATCTGAAAATTGAATCTTTTGCAAGTAATGATCTCCTTTTTCTTTAAATAAATTTTGAAAAACATATAAGAAATGAGTACTACGGGATCATTAAAAACAGCTGGTAGTGTTGCAAATCATGCACGTAGTGATCAATCAATAAGGTTTATTTATTTTTTCTATCTTATATTATAATTTAAATTTATTGAAAATAGAAAACCTCGCTTAGCACCATTATGGCCCGAATGGAACGATGCTGATGTTAATGCTGAATCATGGGAAATTGGAAGTGGAAAAAAGAAAGAAACAGCAGCGAGTAGAGCTCGTGCTGATACAAAATCAGCTAGTGTAGCAGTATGAAAATAATAGAAAAATTAATATTTAGTATTATATTGAATATTCTTCCTTTAGGGCACACATGGATTTGAAGATCCTGAAGGTAAAGTTGAACTACCTCCAACTTTTAAAGTCGAACAATGGAAAAGACCAGTCGATTTTTTACCACCGGAAAGAGTAAAAAAAAGAATTGAATGCATAGTTTCTATGAATAATTAATTTATTATAGCCACCAGTAATTGTCGATCCTGATCAAGGCATGCAAAATTTTGATTTAGTCACACCAAATGAACATTTACATTTCAATGAAGTAAGATCATTTTATTTTTCAATTATAATTTTCTTCTTCTTATTATTATTAATCAAAGACAATGCGCAACATTATTAGTCAGATTACCGCATTATGGGATATTTGCCGACGAGAACGTAAACATACAAATTCACCATCAGAAACTACTACAGAACCAAATGCAGCTGTTTTAAGTGGACGAACATGGCGTCCATGGGTTTGTTTTTTCTATGTATTACATCTATGTCATTAATATTCTTAATTTTTTTTAGGAACATATATATGCCTTGAATAAAGTATCTAGACAACCTTTTATACCTCCATACAATCCTGCAGGCAAATATGTTATTCGACTTTTCTTTTTGGTTTGTATTTACAGAAAAAAATATTCCACATATTATGTTTTATTTCTTTTTGAAATAATTAGGGTACATGGCGAAAAATTATTGTTGATGATACAATTCCATTTGATTCGAAAAATCGTTGTCTTTTACCACAAACATCATTATCATATGAATTATGGCCAATACTTTTAACAAAAGCTTTATTAAAAATAATGTCACTTGAGTAAGAAATTCATTTCATTATCTTCTTTATTGAAAAAAAAGCGCATTCTTTTCTTCAACTATAGTTATCGTCCACCAAATACAAATCCTACATATAATGAAACCAGCGTTATTCATACACTTACTGGTTGGGTACCAGAACCTATTCCACTGAAGTATATTTTTATAATTTACAAAGTTCTCTATATGAAAACGTTTCTTTTAGATACACACATGCAGGAAAAGTATGGGAATTTCTTCGTTACGATCGTTCAAATAAAATCGTAGTGGATAATGAAAATGTAGCCAATAAAATTGAACAACGTTCAACAAGTCCATTACCAGCTTTTGGTCCTGTACCATTATATAAATGGCCAGAAGCAAAAGCTGATGTACCAGAAGAATCTGCATCATCACATGCAAATGTAAAATCTTTTATAAAATTTATATATATATATAAATGTTTTTTTTCTTTCTGTTTAAAAAGGAACAAGTGGGTCATCAAGATGATACAGGAACTGAAACTTTAACAAAAAAATCTGATGAAAAAAGTGCAAAAAAAGCAGGAGCACCAGCTAGTTTAACAGTACCAAAAGATACAACTACAAAAGCAGCAGCAGGAAAAGAAAGTCGAACAGGTAAAGATTCGAAACGATTTGGTGGTGCTGGTCGTGGAGGTACAGTAGAAGATCCAGCAGCTATTATTGATGATCAAACCATACCTGAAGCACCAAAAATGATTGTATTTGCTAATATACCACATTCACAACCAGCACGTAATAGTGCTTATGGTGAATTAGCAGATAGAAGTGAACGATTAAGACGTTATAATCTTAATGATACATTTTCAACTTCAATGTTATTAACTACAATTCGAGATATTCCATTAGAACCACCACCACCACCAGAATATATACCTCCATGGAAACTTATTCGACCAAAAAAATCAAAAACATTACCTCATGCTGAACCATTTAGTAAGTATTATATATATATAATAAAAACAAAATTATAATCTGTATAAATTTTTGTTAGCTCCTCGAGAACCAAAACCTGATCGTTACATTGAAATAACATCTCCATATATTAATTATCCATCTCCAAGTGTACTTAATATGTACGTAAAACGTTTTGATTTGTTTTGATTTTGCTTAATATTTAACAAACTAAAACAGAAAACCGACGATTCGACTTCATCTGATTAATAGTTGTAACACGTAGGAATTTTATTTGCTTTGATTTTGCTCTTATTGCTTTTACTGTGCTTAGATTTCATTTTTTTAGTTTATCTTTATATTTTTTTTCAAAGAAATATTTTTTATTATTCTATATATATTTATATCTATATAGGAATGTTCATACACCTAATCATGGTGCAACATCACGTTTAAGTCATTCAGCAACACATTCAACTGGTGTTGATGTACAGGAAATACTTGAAGTTGATGAAGATGAAGATGCAGAACATAATGAATCACGACCTGAACTTGATATTGATCAAGCTGATACAAGTTTAATGTCACCTGCTAAAGAGGTTTTATTTTTAATTGAATTTGTAATTATAAACAAAACTTGTTGTTTTGTTTTAGTTAAATGTTGTTGATACACCAGATGGATTTGATAGTTCTTTACGTAGTGCAGGAAGTACACTCCGACAAGAACGATCAGCTGATAAAAATAAAGTATAGATATACCTGAATTTGTACCGATATTATCTCGTTAATAAATATAGGGTAATCGAAAAATGACAAGTAGTAAAATCGAATTACCCAATGCAAAACTAATATCAGATGCTGCATCTGTTAAAAGTAAAGGTCGGAACTATTATTATTATTAGTAATAGTAATAATAATCTTATTTTAAAATTAATTATTTAGCCGCTGAAAGTGAACAAAATTCAGCACAGGTAGATTTGGCCGCAACTGCAAATAATGAACAACAAGATTCTCAATCGAAAACAAATGATGCACATTCAAGTCCTAAACCCAGTCAACCAATGAAAAAATCTTATACAACACCAAAATTATGGATGGATTTTGAAGATTTTTGTTCATGTTTTACATCAATTGTTGTTTTTCATAATCCTCGTGGCTATCAACATACACAAAAACATACAGAAATAAAGGTAAAATACAACTTTTGTTTTTTTTTAATATGCAATTTTTTATTTCTTATCACGATAAATAAGAAAATAATGCACATATGTTTCTTTTTAGTTTTTTACAGCACAACAGGTAATTGTTTATTAAAAATTATTAAAAGATATATTGCTTATCGCTTAATCATGTACATATATCTATATATAAACATATTTACCTTTATATATAACTATGTGTCAATCTAACCCTTATTTTTATTTATATAATCCTCTTCTTATATAAAACCATGCCACAGTTTAATTTAAATTATCTTTCAATGGAATAAAAAACATT